GGCTAATGCAAATATTATCTGAGATTATTCCTAAGACAAGCTAGAATCAGTGGGTTAAACTTCTACAAAAAAACGGTTAATGTCCACTCACAATGGTTTCAAATTATCCATATCTCATTGGTTTGGCATTATTGCTCGTATTTCCTTTGCTAATGGAGAAGATTTTGATTGGTAACTATGTTGTGAAAATTTCAGATGGAGGTGGAGGACATAGATGGAGATAATAAAGATGAGGGCATTCTACAAGGTATCCAACTCCGGTTGCTACTTTCAACACTTCTTCACGTAAGAAATTTTCTATATGACATCATGAACTACCATATGTGCAACCTAGTTCTCACAGGAATTGCCTTTTGGCAATGTTGTGGCTCTAATAAGGTTAGTTTCCTATTTTTACTTTTTATTACATCTTTTGTTTTTCTTTTCTGATGTTCCTGGTGCTCTACCGGTATCATGTTTTTTGTTTCAAGAGTAAATGATTAAACTACAACAAAGAATTGTTATGAATGTTAAAGTTGAAAGAGGTTCATGAGTAAAAAATTAAATGACATCTTTTGTTTTATGAGTGTTTTAGGTAGTTAGGAATAGTTTTTTTAGAAGAAAAATGAAGCTTTCATTGAGATCAAATGAAAGAATACAAGAGGAACACACAAAAAAAAACCATCCAAAGAGGAGCCCAATTGAACTAAAAAGGTGCTACAATCAAGCAAAATAAGACCCAAAGGATAATTACAAAAAAGAACAGGTGTGATATCCCTGAGAGGATCCCAATTGACCTAAAAAGATGCTCCAATCAAACAAAGTAAGACTTAAAAAGGAAATTACGAAAAATTGTACACACCCTCCCATATAGAGGTGTGATCTAATAAGGCTACACCTCACCCCAAGGTCTTCCAATACTTTTAAAATTCTTAAACTGATAAAATTGCGTAAAATAACCTTTTCTTCAAGCTCTTCCACTATGGAACTACAACCACTAGGTTGGGCAAGACCATAGGAGAGATGATGCAGATCCTCTGTCATTTCTTACTAAAGATGAAACATTAGGGATTAATCTAAAGGTGTGAATTCCTTTTTTGTTTAAGGAGTTCTTGTGGTTTTTTAAATTGGAGATAATGATTGGGCAACTAAGTAAGGAGGTTTATTTTAGGGCAAGTGAGAAGAAATGGTTGTAAAGAATTGTAAATTTGGAAGAATCATTCAGATGATGGGATAAAGGCACTTCTTAGATACATTTAACTGTATTTGGTCTATAAGTTCGTTAATGGACAATCTTTTGGTTATTTCTAGTTTGTAATGGTTATGTATGTAACGAAGGAAGGAAGGAAGGAAGATAAGTTTAGATAAGAAAATTGTGGGTAAAATTATGAGAATGGTGGATAAAAGACTATTCAAAACGTTAGAACCGAAAATGGAAATTTGTTCAAATTGGAGATTCGAAAAGCTAATTTTGGAACCAAGAAATAGGATGTCATATGCCATGAGACGTAGGAAAGAATTTATCAAGGGATCTCAAAAGAAAGTTTGTGGAATTTTAGAGGAAGGAAGCACTCGAATAAAAGGATTCGCTTAATTGGTTGGTTATAAAGAAAAGTTCAATTCTATTTGGTCTATAAGTTCGTTAATGGACAATCTTTTGGATATTTTTAGTTTTCGATGGTTATCTATGTAAGGAAGGAAGGAAGATAAGTTTGGATAAGAGAATTGTGGGTAAAAGTATAAGAATGGTGGATAAAGGACTATTCAAAACGTTAGGACCGAAAATGAAAGTTTGTTCAAATTGAAGATTCGAAAAACTTATTTAGGAACCAAGAAATAGGATGTAATATGCCATGTGAAGTAGGAAAGAATTTATATCAAGGATACGGAAAAGTGAAGAATTGTTGGAATCAAGGAATAAGGGATCTGAAAAGAAAGTTTGTGGAATTTTAGAGGAAGGAAGCACTCGAATAAAAGGATTTGCTTAATTGGTTGGTGATAAGGCAAAGGTAAATTCTATTTGGTCTATAAGTTCGCTAATGGACAATCTTTTGGATATTTTTAGTTCGATGGTTATCTATGTAAGGAAAGAAGATAAGTTTGGATAAGAGAATTGTGGGTAAAAGTATAAGAATGGTGGATAAAGGACTATTCAAAACGTTAGGACCGAAAATGAAAGTTTGTTCAAATTGGAGATTCGAAAAACTTATTTAGGAACCAAGAAATATGATGTAATATGCCATGTGAAGTACGAAAGAATTTATATCAAGGATATGGAAAAGTGAAGAATTGTTGGAATCAAGGGATAAGGGATCTCAAAAGAAAGTTTGTGGAATTTTAGAGGAAGGAAGCACTCGAATAAAAGGATTTGCTTAATTGGTTGGTGATAAGGGAAAGGGAATTTCTATTTAATCTATAAGTTCGTTAATGGACAATCTTTTGGGTATTTTTAGTTTGTGATTGTTATGTATGTAAGGAAGGAAGGAAGATAAGTTTGGATAAGAGAATTGTGGGTAAAAGCATGAGAAAGGTGTATAAAACACTATTCAAAACGTTAGAACCGAAAATGGAAGATTGAACCAATTGGAGATTCGAAAAGCTTAGTTTGGAACCAAAAAATAGGATGTCTGATGCCATGAGAAGTAGGAAAGAGGAGATTCGAAAAGCTTAGTTTGGAACCAAAAAATAGGATGTCTGATGCCATGAGAAGTAGGAAAGAATTTCTATCAAGGATATAGAAAAGTGAAGAATTGTTGGAATCAAGGAATAATAAGGGAGATCAAAAGAAAGTTTGTGGAATTTTAGAGGAAGGAAGCACTCTTATAAAAGGATATGCTTAATTGGTTGGTGATAAGGCAAAGTTCAATTCTATTTGGTCTATAAGTTCGTTAATGGACAATCTTTTGGATATTTTTAGTTTTCGATGGTTATCTATGTAAGGAAGGAAGGAAGATAAGTTTGGATAAGAGAATTGTGGGTAAAAGTATAAGAATGTTGGATAAAGGACTATTCAAAACGTTAGGACCGAAAATGAAAGTTTGTTCAAATTGGAGATTCGAAAAACTTATTTAGGAACCAAGAAATAGGATGACCGAAAATGAAAGTTTGTTCAAATTGGAGATTCGAAAAACTTATTTAGGAACCAAGAAATAGGATGTAAGAAAATGAAAGTTTGTTCAAATTGGAGATTCGAAAAACTTATTTAGGAACCAAGAAATAGGATGTAATATGCCATGTGAAGTAGGAAAGAATTTATATCAAGGATATGGAAAAGTGAAGAATGGTTGAATCAAGGAATAAAGGATCTGAAAAGAAAGTTTGTGGAATTTTAGAGGAAGGAAGCACTCGAATAAAAGGATTTGCTGAATTGATTGGTTATAAAGAAAAGTTCAATTCTATTTGGTCTATAAGTTCGTTAATGGACAATCTTTTGGATATTTTTAGTTCATGATGGTTATGTATGTAAGGAAGGAAGGAAGATAAGTTTGGATAAGAGAATTGTGGGTAAAAGTATAAGAATGGTGGATAAAGGACTATTCAAAACGTTAGGACCGAAAATGAAAGTTTGTTCAAATTGGAGAATCGAAAAACTTATTTAGGAACCAAGAAATATGATGTAATATGCCATGTGAAGTACTAAAGAATTTATATCAAGGATACGGAAAAGTGAAGAATTGTTGGAATCAAGGGATAAGGGATCTGAAAAGAAAGTTTGTGGAATTTTAGAGGAAGGAAGCACTCGAATAAAAGGATTTGCTTAATTGATTGGTTATAAAGAAAAGTTCAATTCTATTTGGTCTATAAATTCGTTAATGGACAATCTTTTGGATATTTTTAGTTCATGATGGTTATGTATGTAAGGAAGGAAGGAAGATAAGTTTGGATAAGAGAATTGTGGGTAAAAGCATGAGAAAGGTGGATAAAAGACTTTTCAAAACGTTAGAACCGAAAATGGAAGATTGAACCAATTGGAGATTCGAAAAGCTTAGTTTGGAACCAAGAAATAGGATGTCGGATGCCATGAGAAGTAGGAAAGAATTTCTATCAAGGATATGGAAAAGTGAAGAATTGTTGGAATCAAGGAATAAGGGAGATCAAAAGAAAGTTGGTGGAATTTTAGAGGAAGGAAGCACTCTTATAAAAGGATTTGCTTAATTGGTTGGTGATAAGGCAAAGTTAAATTCTATTTGGTCTATAAGTTCGTTAATGGACAATCTTTTGGATATTTTTAGTTTTCGATTGTTATGTATGTAAGGAAGGAAGGAATTTAAGTTTGGATAAGAGAATTGTGGGTAAAAGTATAAGAATGTTGGATAAAGGACTATTCAAGACGTTAGGACCGAAAATGAAAGTTTGTTCAAATTGGAGATTCGAAAAACTTATTTAGGAACCAAGAAATAGGATGTAATATGCCATGTGAAGTAGGAAAGAATTTATATCAAGGATATGGAAAAGTGAAGAATGGTTGGAATCAAGGAATAAGGGATCTGAAAAGAAAGTTTGTGGAATTTTAGAGGAAGGAAGCACTCGAATAAAAGGATTTGCTTAATTGATTGGTTATAAAGAAAAGTTCAATTCTATTTGGTCTATAAGTTCGTTAATGGACAATCTTTTGGATATTTTTAGTTCATGATGGTTATGTATGTAAGGAAGGAAGGAAGATAAGTTTGGATAAGAGAATTGTGGGTAAAAGTATAAGAATGGTGGATAAAGGACTATTCAAAACGTTAGGACCGAAAATGAAAGTTTGTTCAAATTGGAGATTCGAAAAACTTATTTAGGAACCAAGAAATATGATGTAATATGCCATGTGAAGTACTAAAGAATTTATATCAAGGATACGGAAAAGTGAAGAATTGTTGGAATCAAGGGATAAGGGATCTGAAAAGAAAGTTTGTGGAATTTTAGAGGAAGGAAGCACTCGAATAAAAGGATTTGCTTAATTGATTGGTTATAAAGAAAAGTTCAATTCTATTTGGTCTATAAGTTCGTTAATGGACAATCTTTTGGATATTTTTAGTTCATGATGGTTATGTATGTAAGGAAGGAAGGAAGATAAGTTTGGATAAGAGAATTGTGGGTAAAAGTATAAGAATGTTGGATAAAGGACTATTCAAGACGTTAGGACCGAAAATGAAAGTTTGTTCAAATTGGAGATTCGAAAAACTTATTTAGGAACCAAGAAATAGGATGTAATATGCCATGTGAAGTAGGAAAGAATTTATATCAAGGATACGAAAATGTGAAGAATTGTTGGAATCAAGGAATAAGGGATCTGAAAAGAAAGTTTTTGGAATTTTAGAGGAAGGTAGCACTCGAATAAAAGGATTTGCTTAATTGGTTGGTGATAAGGCAAAGTTAAATTCTATTTGGTCTATAAGTTCGTTAATGGACAATCTTTTGGGTATTTTTAGTTTGTGATGGTTATGTATGTAAGGAAGGAAGGAAGATAAGTTTGGATAAGAGAATTGTGGGTAAAAGCATGAGAAAGGTGGATAAAAGACTATTCAAAACGTTAGAACCGAAAATGGAAGATTGAACCAATTGGAGATTCGAAAAGCTTAGTTTGGAACCAAGAAATAGGATGTCAGATGCCATGAGAAGTAGGAAAGAATTTCTATCAAGGATATGGAAAAGTGAAGAATTGTTGGAATCAAGGAATAAGGGAGATCAAAAGAAAGTTTGTGGAATTTTAGAGGAAGGAAGCACTCTTATAAAAGGATTTGCTTAATTGGTTGGTGATAAGGCAAAGTTAAATTCTATTTGGTCTATAAGTTCGTTAATGGACAATCTTTTGGGTATCTTAAGTTTGTGATACTTATGTATGTAAGGAAGGAAGAAAGATAAGTTTGGATAAGAGAATTGTGGGTAAAAGCATGAGAAAGGTGGATAAAAGACTATTCAAAACGTTAAAACCGAAAATGAATTTTGTCCAAATGGGAGATTCGAAAATCTTAGTTTGGAACCAAGAAATAGAATGTCATATGCCATGAGAAGTAGTAAAGAATTTATATCAAGGATATGGAAAAGTGAAGAATTGTTGGAATCAAGGAATAAGGGATATCAAAAGAAAGTTTGTGGAATTTTAAAGGAAGGAAGCACTCGAATAAAAGGATTTGCTTAATTGATTGGTGATAAGGAAAAGTTAAATTTCTATTTGGTCTATAAGTTCGTTAATGGACAGTCTTTTGGGTATTTTTAGTTTGTGATGGTTATGTATGTAAGGAAGGAAGGAAGATAAGTTTGGATAAGAGAATTGTGGGTAAAAGCATGAGAAAGGTGGATAAAAGACTTTTCAAAACGTTAGAACCGAAAATGGAAGATTGAACCAATTGGAGATTCGAAAAGCTTAGTTTGGAACCAAGAAATAGGATGTCAGATGCCATGAGAAGTAGGAAAGAATTTCTATCAAGGATATGGAAAAGTGGAGAATTGTTGGAATCAAGGAATAAGGGAGATCAAAAGAAAGTTGGTGGAATTTTAGAGGAAGGAAGCACTCTTATAAAAGGATATGCTTAATTGGTTGGTGATAAGGCAAAGTTCAATTCTATTTGGTCTATAAGTTCGTTAATGGACAATCTTTTGGATATTTTTAGTTTTCGATGGTTATCTATGTAAGGAAGGAAGGAAGATAAGTTTGGATAAGAGAATTGTGGGTAAAAGTATAAGAATGGTGGATAAAGGACTATTCAAAACGTTAGGACCGAAAATGAAAGTTTGTTCAAATTGAAGATTCGAAAAACTTATTTAGGAACCAAGAAATAGGATGTAATATGCCATGTGAAGTAGGAAAGAATTTATATCAAGGATACGGAAAAGTGAAGAGAAATAGGATGTAATATGCCATGTGAAGTAGGAAAGAATTTATATCAAGGATACGGAAAAGTGAAGAATTGTTGGAATCAAGGAATAAGGGATCTGAAAAGAAAGTTTGTGGAATTTTAGAGGAAGGTAGCACTCGAATAAAAGGATTTGCTTAATTGGTTGGTGATAAGGCAAAGTTAAATTCTATTTGGTCTATAAGTTCGTTAATGGACAATCTTTTGGGTATTTTTAGTTTGTGATGGTTATGTATGTAAGGAAGGAAGGAAGATAAGTTTGGATAAGAGAATTGTGGGTAAAAGCATGAGAAAGGTGGATAAAAGACTATTCAAAACGTTAGAACCGAAAATGGAAGATTGAACCAATTGGAGATTCGAAAAGCTTAGTTTGGAACCAAGAAATAGGATGTCAGATGCCATGAGAAGTAGGAAAGAATTTCTATCAAGGATATGGAAAAGTGAAGAATTGTTGGAATCAAGGAATAAGGGAGATCAAAAGAAAGTTTGTGGAATTTTAGAGGAAGGAAGCACTCTTATAAAAGGATTTGCTTAATTGGTTGGTGATAAGGCAAAGTTAAATTCTATTTGGTCTATAAGTTCGTTAATGGACAATCTTTTGGATATTTTTAGTTTTCGATTGTTATGTATGTAAGGAAGGAATTTAAGTTTGGATAAGAGAGTTGTGGGTAAAAGTATAAGAATGTTGGATAAAGGACTATTCAAAACGTTAAGACCGAAAATGAAAGTTTGTTCAAATTGGAGATTCGAAAAACTTATTTAGGAACCAAGAAATAGGATGTAATATGCCATGTGAAGTAGGAAAGAATTTATATCAAGGATATGGAAAAGTGAAGAATGGTTGGAATCAAGGAATAAGGGAGATCAAAAGAAAGTTGGTGGAATTTTAGAGGAAGGAAGCACTCTTATAAAAGGATATGCTTAATTGGTTGGTGATAAGGCAAAGTTCAATTCTATTTGGTCTATAAGTTCGTTAATGGACAATCTTTTGGATATTTTTAGTTTTCGATGGTTATCTATGTAAGGAAGGAAGGAAGATAAGTTTGGATAAGAGAATTGTGGGTAAAAGTATAAGAATGGTGGATAAAGGACTATTCAAAACGTTAGGACCGAAAATGAAAGTTTGTTCAAATTGGAGATTCGAAAAACTTATTTAGGAACCAAGAAATAGGATGTAATATGCCATGTGAAGTAGGAAAGAATTTATATCAAGGATACGGAAAAGTGAAGAATTGTTGGAATCAAGGAATAAGGGAGATCAAAAGAAAGTTGGTGGAATTTTAGAGGAAGGAAGCACTCTTATAAAAGGATATGCTTAATTGGTTGGTGATAAGGCAAAGTTCAATTCTATTTGGTCTATAAGTTCGTTAATGGACAATCTTTTGGATATTTTTAGTTTTCGATGGTTATCTATGTAAGGAAGGAAGGAAGATAAGTTTGGATAAGAGAATTGTGGGTAAAAGTATAAGAATGGTGGATAAAGGACTATTCAAAACGTTAGGACCGAAAATGAAAGTTTGTTCAAATTGGAGATTCGAAAAACTTATTTAGGAACCAAGAAATATGATGTAATATGCCATGTGAAGTAGGAAAGAATTTATATCAAGGATACGGAAAAGTGAAGAATTGTTGGAATCAAGGAATAAGGGAGATCAAAAGAAAGTTGGTGGAATTTTAGAGGAAGGAAGCACTCTTATAAAAGGATATGCTTAATTGGTTGGTGATAAGGCAAAGTTCAATTCTATTTGGTCTATAAGTTCGTTAATGGACAATCTTTTGGATATTTTTAGTTTTCGATGGTTATCTATGTAAGGAAGGAAGGAAGATAAGTTTGGATAAGAGAATTGTGGGTAAAAGTATAAGAATGGTGGATAAAGGACTATTCAAAACGTTAGGACCGAAAATGAAAGTTTGTTCAAATTGGAGATTCGAAAAACTTATTTAGGAACCAAGAAATAGGATGTAATATGCCATGTGAAGTAGGAAAGAATTTATATCAAGGATACGGAAAAGTGAAGAATTGTTGGAATCAAGGAATAAGGGAGATCAAAAGAAAGTTGGTGGAATTTTAGAGGAAGGAAGCACTCTTATAAAAGGATATGCTTAATTGGTTGGTGATAAGGCAAAGTTCAATTCTATTTGGTCTATAAGTTCGTTAATGGACAATCTTTTGGATATTTTTAGTTTTCGATGGTTATCTATGTAAGGAAGGAAGGAAGATAAGTTTGGATAAGAGAATTGTGGGTAAAAGTATAAGAATGGTGGATAAAGGACTATTCAAAACGTTAGGACCGAAAATGAAAGTTTGTTCAAATTGGAGATTCGAAAAACTTATTTAGGAACCAAGAAATAGGATGTAATATGCCATGTGAAGTAGGAAAGAATTTATATCAAGGATACGGAAAAGTGAAGAATTGTTGGAATCAAGGAATAAGGGAGATCAAAAGAAAGTTGGTGGAATTTTAGAGGAAGGAAGCACTCTTATAAAAGGATATGCTTAATTGGTTGGTGATAAGGCAAAGTTCAATTCTATTTGGTCTATAAGTTCGTTAATGGACAATCTTTTGGATATTTTTAGTTTTCGATGGTTATGTATGTAAGGAAGGAAGGAAGATAAGTTTGGATAAGAGAATTGTGGGTAAAAGTATAAGAATGGTGGATAAAGGACTATTCAAGACGTTAGGACCGAAAATGAAAGTTTGTTCAAATTGGAGATTCGAAAAACTTATTTAGGAACCAAGAAATAGGATGTAATATGCCATGTGAAGTAGGAAAGAATTTATATCAAGGATACGAAAATGTGAAGAATTGTTGGAATCAAGGAATAAGGGAGATCAAAAGAAAGTTGGTGGAATTTTAGAGGAAGGAAGCACTCTTATAAAAGGATATGCTTAATTGGTTGGTGATAAGGCAAAGTTCAATTCTATTTGGTCTATAAGTTCGTTAATGGACAATCTTTTGGATATTTTTAGTTTGTGATGGTTATGTATGTAAGGAAGGAAGGTAGATAAGTTTGGATAAGAGAATTGTGGGTAAAAGCATGAGAAAGGTGGATAAAAGACTATTCAAAACGTTAGAACCGAAAATGGAAGATTGAACCAATTGGAGATTCGAAAAGCTTAGTTTGGAACCAAGAAATAGGATGTCAGATGCCATGAGAAGTAGGAAAGAATTTCTATCAAGGATATGGAAAAGTGAAGAATTGTTGGAATCAAGGAATAAGGGAGATCAAAAGAAAGTTTGTGGAATTTTAGAGGAAGGAATCACTCGAATAAAAGGATTTGCTTAATTGGTTGGTGATAAGGCAAAGTTAAAGTCTATTTGGTCTATAAGTTCGTTAATGGACAGTCTTTTGGGTATTTTTAGTTTGTGATTGTTTTGTATGTAAGGAATGAAGGAAAGAAGATAAGTTTGTATACGAGAATTGTGGGTAAAAGCATGAGAAAGGTGGAGAAAGGTGGAGAATCGAAAAGCTTAGTTTGGAACCAAGAAAGATGATGTCATATGGCATGAGACGTAGGAAAGAATTCATATCAAGGATATGGAAAAGTGAAGTATTATTTGAATCAAGAAATAAGGGATCTCAAAAGTAAATTTGTGGAATTTTAGAGGAAGGGAGCACTCGAATAAAAGGATTTGCTTAATTTGTTGGTGATAAGGAAAAGTTAAATTCTATTTGGTCTATAAGTTCGTTAATGGACAATCTTTTGGATATTTATTGCGATGGTTATCTATGTAAGGAAGGAAGGAATATAAGTTTGGATAAGAGAATTGTGGGTAAAAGTATGAGAATGGTGGATAAAGGACTATTCAAAACGTTAGGACCGAAAATGAAAGTTTGTTCAAATTGGAGATTCGAAAAACTTATTTAGGAACCAAGAAATAGGATGTCATATGCCATGTGAAGTAGAAAAGAATTTATATCAAGGATATGGAAAAATGAAGAATTGTTGGAATCAAGGAATAAGAGATCTCAAAAGAAAGTTGGTGGAGTTTTAGAGGAAAGAAGCACTCGAATAAAAGGGTTTGCTTAATTGGTTGGTGATAAAGAAAAGTTAAATTCTATTTGGTCTATAAGTTCGTTAATGGGCAATCTTTTGGATATTTTTAGTTCATGTTGGTTATGTATGTAAGGAAGGAAGGATGATAAGTTTGGATAAGAGAATTGTGGGTAAAAGCATGATAAAGGTGGATAAAAGACTATTCAAAACGTTAGAACCGAAAATGAAAGTTTGTTCAAATTGGAGATTCGAAAAGCTTATTTAGGAACCAAGAATTAGGATGTCATATGCCCCAAGAAGTAGGAAAGAATTTCTATCAAGGATATAGAAAAGTGAATAAGTGTTGGAATCAAGGAATATGGGATCTCATAATGAAATTTGTGGAATTTTAGAGGAAGGAAGCGCTCGAATAAAAGGATTTGCTTAATTGGTTGGTGATAAGGAAATGTTAAATTCTATTTGGTCTATAAGTTCGTTAATTGACAATCTTTTAGTTATTTTTAGTCTGTGATGGTTATGTATGTAAGGAAATGGTTATGTATGTTAGGAAGGAAGGAAAGTTTGGATAAGAAAATTGTGGGTAAAAATATGAGAAAGGTGGATGAAGGAGTTTCCGTGAAAGAATAAAAAACGTAAGTTTGTTCAAATTAGAGATTTGAAAAGCTTGTTTTGGAACCAAAATATAGGATGTTATATGCCATGAGAAGTAGGAAAGAGGTTAAATCAAGGATTTGATAAAGTGAAGAATTGTTGGAATCAAGAAATAGAGGATAGTAAGACAACGTCTGAGGAATTTTAGGGGAAAGAAGCACCATTATAGTAGATTTGCTTGATTGGTTGTCGATAAAGTAAAGTTAAAATTTATTTGGTCTATAAGTTCGTAGATGAACAATCTTTTGGATATTTTTAGTTTTTGATGGTTATGTATGTAACGAAGGAAGAATGATAAATTTGGATTAGGGAATTTCGGGCAAAAGTATGAAAATGGTGGTTGAATGACTATTCACTTTCATAAACGTTAGAGACGAAAACAGATGTTTGTTTAAATTTGAGATTTGAAAAGTTTGTTTTGGGACGAAGAAAGAGGATGTCATATGCCATGAGAAGTAGGAAATAATTTGAATCAAGAGCATGAAAAAGTGAAGAATTGTTGGAATCAAGGAATAAAGGATAACAAAAATAATAATGGATAACAAAAATACATTTGTGAAATTTTAGAGAAGGGAAGGACTAGAATAGGAGGATTTGCTTAATTGGTTGGTGATAAAGAATTGTTAAATTGTATTTGGTCTATAAGTTTGTTAATGGAAAATCTTTTGGACATATTTTTAGTGTGGCATGGTTATGTATGTCAAGAAGGAAGGAGATAAGTTTGGATAAGTTAATTGTGGGTAAATGTATGAGAATGGTGGATAAAGGACTATTCACTTTCATAAACGTTAGACCGGAAATGGAAGTTTATTCAAATTGAAAATTTGAAAAGCTTATTTTAGTACCAAGAAATAGGATGTCATATGCCATAAGATGTAGGAAAGAATTGAATCAAGGACATGGAATGAAGAATTTTTGGAATCCAGGAATAAGGGATCGAAAAACGATGTGTGTGAAATTGTAGAGGAAGGAAGCACTAGAATAAAAGGGTTTGACTAATTGGTTGGTGATAAAGAAATGTTAAATTGTATTTGTCTATAAGTTAGTTACTGGACAATCTTTTAGACATATTTAATTTGTGATAGTCATGTATGTAAGGAAGGAAGATAAGTTTTGATAAGAGAATTGTGGGTAAAGGTATGAAAATGGTGGATGAAGGACTATTCACTTTCATAAACATTATAGCTGAAAACGGAAGTTTGGTCAAATTGGAGATTTGAAAAAGCTTATTTTTGAACCTACAAAAAAGGATGCCATATGCCATGAGAAGTAGGAAAGTATTTGAATCAAGTACATGGAAAAAGGTAGCATTGTTGGAATCAAGAAATATGTGATCAAAAAATGATGTGTGAAATTTTATATGAAGGAAGCATTAAAATAAAAGGATTTGCTTAACTGGTTGGTGTTAAAGAAAAGTTAAATTGTATTTGGTCTATAAGGTCGTTAATGGACAATACGTTCAGATATTTTTAGTTTGTGATGATTATGTATGTAGGGATGGAAGGAAGATAAGTTTGGATAAGAGAATTGTGGTTAAAGTATGAGAATCATGGATAAAAGACTATTCGCTTTCGTAAACGTTAAAATCGGAAGTTTGTTCAAATTGGAGATTTGAAAAGCTTATTTTTGAACCAACAAAAAGGATGTCATATGCTATGAGAAGTGGGAAAGAATTTGAATCTAGGATATGGAAAAGCGAAGAATTGTTGGAATCAAGGATTAAGATATAGCAAAAAAAAAGTTAGTGAAATTTTAGTGGAAGTAAGCACTAGAATAAGGGGATTTGCTTAATTGGTCGGTGATAAAGAAAAGTTAAATTATATTTGATATATAAGTTCGTTAATGGACAATCTTTTGGATATTTTTAGTTTTTGATTTTTACTTAGGTAAGGAAGGATGGAAGATAAGTTTGGATACGAGAATTGCAGGCAAAAGTTTGAAAATAGTGGATAAAGGACCGTTCATTTCATGAACGTTAGAATAAAAAACGGAAGTTTGTTGAAATTTGAGATTTGAAAATATTATTTTGGAACCAAAAAATAGGATGTCTATCGCTCCCTAAGAAGCAAGAAAGAATTTGAATCAATGACATGGAACTGCAAACAATGGTTGGAATCAAGCAATAAAGGATTTTTAAAAGAGGTTTGTGAAGGTCTGTGAAATTTTAGAGTAAGAAAGCAAAAAGTGGTTTGTGAAATTTTAGATGATGAAAGCACTAGAGTAAAGAATTTGTTTATTTGGTACTAAAGAAAAGTTAAATTGTGTTTGATCCATGATGGACAATTTTTTGGGTTTTTGAGTTTGATAATTATGTATTTAGAGGAAAGAAGATAAGTTTGGATACAAGGAATAAGATGTTTTATGCCATGGAAAGCAAAGAATGGTTGGAATTAAGAAATAAGATGTCTATGCCATGTGAAGTGTTAATGGAAAGCGAAAAATTGTTGGAATCCAGGAATAAGGGAACACAAAAATAGGTTTGTGAAATTTTAGATAAGAAAGCACTAGAATAAAAGAATTTGTTTAATTTGTGCGAAAGAAAAGTTAAATTGTGTTTGGTCCACGATAGATAATGGACAATCTTTTGAATTTTTTGAGTTTGATGGTTATGTAGGTAAGGAAGGAGATCAGTTTGGATACATCAATTTTGGTTTAAAGGATGAGATTGGACTTCCATTTTTAATGGATGATTTCTTGTCATTCTTTGGATCGAAAATAATGTTTGAGGTAATATTGTCTAATAAGGTTTAATTTGGGGCAAATGAATAAAGTGTTATGAAGATGAAATAGGGTACTTTCTTAAAATGGTGTATGAGTTTCTTTGAAGAATTTAATCGGATGATATTCTTACTTAAAAGAGGAAATAGATACACTTAATGTGGTAAATGGAAAATTATGTCTCCGAATAGGCAATTCGAACACAAAAGTGTTTGGAATCCAGAACCTCGTAATCAAAGTCCTTAGATCAAAACCATGTTCAAGAATCCAGTACTCAAGAATAGAACTTAAAAGGCATAAGTTATTGGGATAATAACAAGAATATGACAAGAAAGAAGTGTGGTAACCCTATCATCCACCATAGACATGATTATGAGCCTATAAGTAGGGGAACTTACTAAGTTTTGTACTCATTCTAGTTCTCGCAAGGTTTTAAGGTGGCAAGAAGGAACTGGTTAAGGAGGGAGTGGATCTAGAGTAGGTGCCATATAGAGCTACACTGCGTTTTCAACTATTTTATTATTTTAAGTTGTTTTGTTTATCGGGCCCAATGTATTCGAACTCATAAACTTTATTTTTGATTTGTAAATAAAATGTATTTATGTTTTATATGCGAAAAAATTTACTGTCCTCTTTATATTTTCAAGTTTTTACTAAGTTGTGACTCGAAAATCGGTTCGTGACAAAGTGGAGGAGAAAGGTTCTTTATGGCTCTCGAGAGACTCTCCACCGCGACTAAGTATGTTTAAAATGTATGCCTAAGGATTTTGAAGTGTTTTATTAACTATAGGGTTATTGTACAAGCAAAGATTCAAGGTGACCTTAAAACTTCTAAGGACAAATAGTAACCTCAAAGACTTGAGAGGAAAGAACTAAGGCTAAAAACCTCCCGAAGCAAGACCATCTCAAAAGAAAGCAGTCCTTACAGAGACAAGGGTAGTTAAAAGGATCAAGTAGGGCCTTTTGTAACACTAAGAAAAGAAGAATTTTAAGACTTAACACAAGGATGATCATGGAAGACTTGTAATCTCAACAAAGGATGTTGGGAAGACAGTCACAAGGAGCAAATGTCGGAATAGTTGTGTGGCCTTAAGACATAAATTAAGGACTAAAGGATGCAAGGACGGTTATAAGACCAAGTTGAAGAAGGACAAACCCCATAAAAAGATGTCAAAGAACTTGGAAGGACATAACTAAGAACAAATATCCCCAAGGCAAGGTAAGAACAGTTAACTTTCGGAGATGAAAGTTCTTAAAAGGGAGAGAATTTGCAGGACTCCAAGTGTGCTAAGGATGATCAAGGAAGACTTATAATCTCAACAAAGGATGTTGAGAAGGCAGTCATAAGGAGCAAATGTTGGAACGGTTGTGTGACCTTAAGACATAAGTTAAGGACTAAAAGATGCAAGGATGATTATAAGAACCAGTCGAAGAAGGACAAACCCATAAAAAGATCTCAAAGAACTTGGAAGGACATAACTAAGAACAAATATACCCAAGGCAAGATAAACTGGAAAAGTTCTTAAGTAATGTCAATGTCCTAGTACGGTTTTATAAGGATGCAAGACCTTTGGTAAAGGTTTGGAAATGAAATGGTAAGCGTAAAGGAACACTCTTGCCACCGTCCTTTAGAGAAACAGTCTCACTGCCGTACTTGTCCATCTTTCTTGGACTCTAAAGAGAGATGACGTTATCTCTGTCAAATATTTGTAGAATCCCCCACTCTTTTGCAGACTTTGGACTGCAAAGCTACCCTAAAAGTTCCGGGTTTTCCCTTGGTCTTTATTGTTGGAAGCTTTCAACGCGACTGATAAAGTTTAAAATAAAAACCCCAATAGGGCTTTCTGTCCAACATGGTTCTCCTTGTGCAAGTTTAATGGGGAGGATGCTAGCCACTTGTTCATATCCTGTCTAGTTGCTTCCTTTTTTGGTCCTCCACTCTTTTGCAGACTTGGACTGCAAAGCTACCCTAAAAGTTCCGGGTTTTCCCTTGGTCTTTATTGTTGGAAGCTTTCAACNAGTCACAAGGAGCAAATGTCGGAATAGTTGTGTGGCCTTAAGACATAAATTAAGGACTAAAGGATGCAAGGACGGTTATAAGACCAAGTTGAAGAAGGACAAACCCCATAAAAAGATGTCAAAGAACTTGGAAGGACATAACTAAGAACAAATATCCCCAAGGCAAGGTAAGAACAGTTAACTTTCGGAGATGAAAGTTCTTAAAAGGGAGAGAATTTGCAGGACTCCAAGTGTGCTAAGGATGATCAAGGAAGACTTATAATCTCAACAAAGGATGTTGAGAAGGCAGTCATAAGGAGCAAATGTTGGAACGGTTGTGTGACCTTAAGACATAAGTTAAGGACTAAAAGATGCAAGGATGATTATAAGAACCAGTCGAAGAAGGACAAACCCATAAAAAGATCTCAAAGAACTTGGAAGGACATAACTAAGAACAAATATACCCAAGGCAAGATAAACTGGAAAAGTTCTTAAGTAATGTCAATGTCCTAGTACGGTTTTATAAGGATGCAAGACCTTTGGTAAAGGTTTGGAAATGAAATGGTAAGCGTAAAGGAACACTCTTGCCACCGTCCTTTAGAGAAACAGTCTCACTGCCGTACTTGTCCATCTTTCTTGGACTCTAAAGAGAGATGACGTTATCTCTGTCAAATATTTGTAGAATCCCCCACTCTTTTGCAGACTTTGGACTGCAAAGCTACCCTAAAAGTTCCGGGTTTTCCCTTGGTCTTTATTGTTGGAAGCTTTCAACGCGACTGATAAAGTTTAAAATAAAAACCCCAATAGGGCTTTCTGTCCAACATGGTTCTCCTTGTGCAAGTTTAATGGGGAGGATGCGAGCCACTTGTTCATATCCTGTCTAGTTGCTTCCTTTTTTGGTCCTCCTCCCACGAAGGCTTCAGTATTCCTTGGGGCTAGCATAGAGACATCAAGGCTACGCTGTTCCAGAACTTCTCTAGCCTTTTTTCTTATTCTGACCCAAAACAAACTTTGTGGCTCCTTTCCACCGCTGCTATCTGTTGGGTTATCTGGTTTGAAAGAAATAGGCGTGTTTTTAGTGGCATCGATCGCTCTTTTGATCAACTCACAGAAGATGTCAACTACTTCACGACTCTGTGGGCTGTCAAATCAAAATGGTTGTGTAATTATCCTTTTACTTTGGTTCTAACAAACTAGAGAGCTCTTATAGAAGCTTCTCCAACTTGTAGTTCTTCATCAATAAACTTCCCTGTTTCCTTTGCATAAAAAATATAATGAAGTATTGTATCTTCCATCATTTCAGGACAAGAGAAGAAAGATCTTTCTTTGGTGCCACTTTTTCTTCTCCCCTATTTGATTGGAATATTTGGCTGGGGGAAAATAGAAATACTTCTTGAGAGCTTGCAAGCTTTCGGGGGAGGTTGTTCTATAGCTAGGTTTCATGGCTCTCCATTTGGGTGTCGATTTCAAAAGATTTTTGTGGCTATCGTTTTTCCTCTTATCTCAATAAGTATAGCTCTTTTTGTAATCTTTATGTTGTTTCTTTCTATAGGCTCCTTTTCCAATGAGCTTTTCTTCTTTTCTGTATTGCTCGTTTGCACTCTTTCATTTGGTTTGACAAAAGCTTAGTTTTTAACTGAAGAAAAAGGATGTTGGACTTTTGGCAAGTCAGGGAGGTTTTATGTATTAATAGGGAAATATTGGGATGTTATTAGGATGTTATTAGGATGTTATTAGGATGTTAGTTGCGTAATTTTAATTACTTGGGAAGTATTAATAGGGAAAAATTAAGGTCTGCTAACCTTTTGTCTTTGAAAATTTTGCTTGTTTTTTTAATTATTTTTCTGCAATGAATTTTATCTTTCAACAAGCTTTCGATAACTAAGTTGTCAAAACTTGGTTTGGTTTTGAAAACCGAAGTAAAAAGTAGATAACTAATCAAAGAAATTCATAGGTGGAAGTAGTATTTATAGGCATAATTTTCAAAAATCAAAAACCAAAAACCAAAAACCAAATGCCGTAAGCTAAATGGTTATCAAACATGGCTTACATGAGTAACAAATTGAATTTGAAGAACTATAAGAAAGCAACAGGAAGCTACTTCTCAACTAGGCCAAAAGATCAACACAAGCCAACCAAATAAAGATCACCCTAAACAATACAACCAAAAATGGCCAACTAAAAGACAGCCAAAGCTTGA